CACAAAATGAAGGCAAGTCCGAGCAAAGAGGGTTATAGAAGTAATAGGATTACTTGTTCAAGTAACGGATGAAATATCAATCATAGCAAATGAACAAATTTCATGTTGAGCTCAAGAGAAGAAACATGTTGGATCAACTTGATTCGAGCAATGTACGAAGGGAAGAAATCACATTAATTATGCGACCGCGTAGTTATATGAACCATGCAGTCGCATGTGATAAAGTAGTGAGTAGAGCATAGGGATTCAAGTGACCTATGCGACTGCATAGGTTATAACTATGCAGCCACATAGAATAAAATATTGTGTGATTTTTTCAGTTTTCACTAAATCTTTTAATTATGTCAAACTCTATTTTATGGTAACTTTTAGTAGGTTTAGACCTGAATTCCGTTTCAATTAGGGTTATACGGGTTTCTTATAAAAAGAACTCATTATTTTTATTGTAAAATAACTTTTATTCATATATCAAATTGAGATTTTTTTTGTAAGCAATTTTGTTTTCAATTCCTTGTTCTTCATTGAACTAACTTTACGAGCTTATCAAAAATTATTTCTTGTCGCTTTCAAACAATCAAGGTGAGATTTTTGAATTTTGTGATCTCGAGGTCAAAATATTGTTGGCGATTGTGTTGGTTATTTAATTCAATATTTTTGGACTAAACTCTAAACTTTGGTTTCTCAAGTTTCTTGGTTTAAATCAATATTTTGTGAGTTTTGGAGCTAATATTACTACGCGAGTTCACATCAATAAGATACATGATAAACGAGAATAATAATGGAAGTTATAAATCATCCAACAAAATTTTGGATGAGGTTGAACAGTTTTGATTTCTTGCGATTCAATCTTATCCCTAACAAAAAGTACTTTTTAACACAAACCCTAAATAAAATAAAGCGATAAATTAGCAACAAGAAAAAACAAACTAAATAATGGCCCAAGTCTAATCTCTTGTTTCCGAGCGTTGTGCAGTCCACTCAATGTTTCATTCAACTAGCTCAACCATGCTCCTAGGGGTGAGCGTGTAAGTATTGTTCGTTCATTTTTGTGATTCATGGTTCCTAGTACACTAAATGACAACAAACAAAAGTGTTTCATAGTTAAAGAAAAAGAAGTTGGAGAATTTTGTACAAAAGAGAACTATATATTCATACATTACATATCAATTGGTCCCACGTTTTTCAATCTCTTTATTCATTATTAGATGCAATGTTTTTGTGGTGTCTTTTTAAATGTATCCCACTATAATTTAATTTTAAATGATGCAGCTTGTGATATGAAATCAAAAGGTGACAACAAAATGACAAAAGAGAACACAAAAAAGATTGATGTTCCCTAATACATAAGACCATGGGAGACAAACATGTATTATAATATAGTAATTATGAATAATTTATGTTAAGTTTTACGAAGCCTAGCAAGTATCAAGTGAATGCATTTGCGGCAAAAATTAATTTACATACACACGTGATCAAGCTGGCACGACTCTTTCCTTCTAGATTTTATTTTTCATTTTGGCATAAGGTATAGGAAAAGATATGAATTGTAGGGAAATATTGATGAATTTTTCTTTCCTTGTTAAGCTGACGATAAAATATTTATGATTTTGGCCCTTCGACACTTTTAATGATGCAAGATTGATATCTAGTTGTATAGCATTTGTAACCACGATTATTCTTATGGTATTGATCGATTGATATTTTAATCAGTGAAAGATATGCATTATTGACTATTAAATAGTAAACTGTAAAAACTAAATAAAATCATTATTTAAATTTCAACTGTATTATTTGGTTATTTAATCGATTGAACATGATATTTTCATTCATATTTTAATCAAATTACAGGGTTGTGTCATTTTTCTGTTGGCCATGTAGGATGTTCATTATTATTTTTGGGCAGAATAGTTTTTTTAGAACTAATTATAATTTGGTTAATGATATTAAATTAAAAGACTAATAAAAAATAAAAGATAATAAAGAAATCTTTTTTATCCCCTTTCTTAATTGGGAAAAAGAAGAAAATGACTAATGAAGTCTGTTTTAAAGTTGAAAGACTATTTATACAAGATATAAAATTTGAAGACCGACAAGTTTTTTACCCACTCGAACATTTTTTTTTTTGACAAATAATATTTATTTCATATTATATAAAATCTATTATAATGAATATAACAATTAAATTATCATGGCATAGTTATTTTTAGTACAAATAATATTTTATAATTTCTTTGCTTCAATTATATACTTGATTTTTTTAAGTATGTAGTACGCTGATTTTCCGTGAACGATTTCTATCTATATTATTGAAAAAAAAAAAAATTCATGTTTTTGTCTATATGAAGAATAATTTGAAATCCTCAATTAAAATAAATAACAACTAACGTTGTCCCGAAGGTTTAGTAGGACAGAAAAATGAAAACTCAAAGAGTGCATTGTTTGCAAAAAATAAAAATATAACGTAGAAGGATGTTCATCAATAATTGAAAACAAAATTACGGTAAATGTCGATTATAAACTTAATTACTTTTTAAATAAATTTAAAGTTGATTTACGAATTTTTTTATCATTCTATTTGATAGTTTCAACTATCATAAGTATGATAAAGATAATTATTTATTTAGGTAAAAAAAAATGTTATATTATGAGTTAAAAGGAATAGCTACGTCCATGTTCGAGTGCAGAAGTCTATATATATAAACCTTCCAAGCACGGTTATACTGCATTCCACATAAATTGAGAACTCAACTGTAATTATTTCATTTTCACTTGTTGTAAACATTTACATTGGAGGTAAGTGCCTCGATGCAACATCTAGGACCTGTTCGGTAGGAATTTTGAGAATTGATTTTTTGACTGTTAGGAGAAAAGTGAGGGTCACCTGGGAGAAAGGAAATAAAAAATGAAAATTGAAATAGTGAAATAACGGACAAAAAACCACTCCAAAACAAGCTCCTAACAAGTGGGAAGTTATGACTTCTGAAGTAGGATAGGATATTTTGACTTGATCTTTAAATACTAAATAGAGATACAGCACAGCCAAAGTAATTTCCATTTGCGAAAAATGGGTTGTGGTCCTCATTTTGATAGAGTCCTCAAAATAGAGTATTTAATTGGGGTGATAGATTTAAAGTAACACTATTTGTCAAATACTGCATTGTTAATAAGTTATGTGTGTATTTTTTGTGTTACTCCAAATCAGTTAAATATTTTGTGGTTTAATTGAAGACTTGTAGTAATACTATGACAAATTTGGTACGTCAAATAATTGAATGATATTTGATAGAATTAAATAAGATAAATTAATTAAAATCTTGTTTGCTATTCCAAATCAAATATATTATAAAAGAGTATGTTATTTTACTTCAAATAATTGAATGATATTTGATAGAATTAATAAATAAATTAAAATCTTGTTTGCTATCCCAAATCAAGGCCCCATTTGGGAGAGATTTTGAGAATTGAATTTTTGACTGTTAGAAAAAAGTGGGGTCCACCTGTGAGAGAAGAAGTCAAAAATTACGACTGAAATAATGAAATAACGATCAAAAAATCAATTTTTTAGGATAAAAAATCCCTCCCAAATAGGCTGTAAATATATTATAAAAAAGTATGTTATTTCACCTTGGAAGTGGCCCTAGATTAAATTTTGTTCTAGCACATTCATTCAAACTGAATAGAGTGGGGGTGTGTAGCTGTTGCAATAGCCAAAGGAATAGATATTTATTAAACCAATGAAAGGAAATGGAGGGCATTGGTGATATTTATTGTGTCAATCAATACAGATCTCATTTATTAGTTCTTAGTACAATTTTATGTAGCTTAGCATAAGTAGTGGCATGTTTATCATCAGTGAAAAATTATAAAGAGTATTTATAATATGAATTGTGCAAGTTCAAATTATACCCTAAATAAAGAGTATTTATAATTTGAATTGTTTATTTGTAAAAATGAACTAAAAGATAATATTTTATTTAGCCCTTGTCTGTCCTTTTTTAAAACAACTATCAAATTGATTTGGGTTCAGTTTACACTACAAGTCTACTTAAGCCCTTGTTTGATCTCCATTATTTTTAAAATACATTTTTTTAACTACACATTATTCAATAAAATAATATTATACGCAACTTCAAAACTTTTTCTTATTTTTTAGCTATAAATTCTCTATAAATCTACTATTCTAAAATGCATTCTATAAATTAAAAAAAAAAAAAAAGGAGGTTCAAACACGTATTATCGGCTATTGCTACTATTATTAGATGTGCCTATTATATATATAGTGCATTTAAGCCCTTGTTTGAGCCTCATTCTTGCCCAAAAAAAAATGTATTTTTGAATAGTATATAAATGTAAAATGTGTGGTCAAAAAATAAAGAAAAGTTTTGAATTTGTGTTTAATATTATTTTAATAAAAAATATATGATTGAAATAGGATCAAATTACAGTTAAAAAATGTATTTTTGATGAAAATAATGAGACTCAAACAACTGAACAAGGGCTAAGTCTAAAAGTCAATTTTAAAAAAGGAAAAGAAAATTAATTTACATGGTTGTACACAGTCCACAAAGCCAAAATATAGGAAATATATACTTTGGAATGCTCTAATGGAGTCCCACGCAAAAGAAATGGTGAACCCAAGCCCCCTTTTAACTATAATAGACTTTGTTTGATTCTCATTTTTTTCAAAATATATTTGTTTATCTCTTCTTTTTAACCATATATTCTTCATTAATATAATATTATACGTAAATAAAAAAAATTCTTTATTTTTCAATCATACATTTTCAATCAATCTAATATTCTAAAATTTATTTTTTCATAAAAATGGACTCAAACACCCTCGTAATAATCACTGTAAACCAAGTGTAAGTATGTGGATTAATAAATTAATAACTTAATTAATTATAATTGAAAACCAAGTCCCTATTGCGGCGTGTCCTACTTTCTTTCCCCCACATGCCACCTTTTCTCCACCATTTTCAAAACTCTATATCTATCTATATAAAGCCCCATTTTCTCGATCCGCTTTGTATTAATCCGACTCCCTCTCTTTTTCTGTCTATTTCTCTCTCCCTAAAATCTGAAAAATCCATCTACACCTTTTTTTGTCTATCAATCAGTTTCTCTATTTTAGGGTAATATGGAGCATCATGCTAAAGGAGGTGGAAATTACAGCCGAAGTGAAGAAGAATTAATGGAGCTCCGTCGAGGGCCGTGGACCGTGGAAGAAGACTTAACCCTTATCAACTATATTGCACACCACGGTGAAGGCCGCTGGAACTCACTCGCCACCTGCGCCGGTAAGAAAACCCCCCCATGCACTGCTAGTATAATAAACAAGATTTTAACTTTTCTTTTTCTTTTTAACTATTTGGAACTATTCAATCTTCTGAGCATGAGATAGTTCATTTCCCGCATGGCATAAACTTAAAGAAATACACATCCAAGAAAGTTGTATGTATTGGATTGGTGGGGTTGATAAGGAAAAGGCATAATTAGTACGAAAAGTAAAGAAAATTTGATCCTTTCTTATTCTAGTGCGTTTCTTTTGGGAAATTTACTCGAACTTTACCAATGTTTTTCATTTCCTTCATTAGCTAATGAAAATTTTAATGGTTTTAATATAGATCTAAGGAGAACTGGAAAGAGCTGCAGATTGAGATGGCTAAATTATTTACGCCCAGACGTTCGTCGAGGAAATATTACTCCTGAAGAACAACTTATGATTCTTGAACTCCATTCTAGATGGGGTAATAGGTATGTTAGTATTAATCTCTTTAATTCATATGAAAAATTATCTCACGGCTTATATATGAAAACGAGTTTCTCGAGTAAGCTGATGGTTTTCAAATGTAATAGATGGTCAAAAATTGCTCAACATTTGCCTGGCAGAACTGATAATGAGATCAAGAATTATTGGAGAACAAGAGTCCAAAAGCATGCTAAACAGCTCAAATGTGACGTGAACAGCAAGCAATTTAAGGAAGTCATGCGTTACCTTTGGATGCCACGATTGATTGAGAAAATTCAGGCAGGCGCCGCCTCGACCGGGCCGACGGCCGGGAGGACTTCCACCATCACCACCATCAACTCTGGCACCATCCGCGCCGCCAATTACCATCTCAAGAACACTAATCTTGACATGGGCTCAAGCCAAATGATCTTGCCCCAGCCTAACATGGCTGGCAACTTTAACGGTGCCGTTAATATTTACCCTGGCAACTACACGGCGGAAGGTTCCTCCACCGCCGCCTCACCAGATTCATTTGGGGCACAAGTTTCGCCGGGTTCAGACCTGACAGATTGCTATAATCATCCAGTTAATCACAACAATAATCAAGATTATTGTCCAACAAACGAGCTACCCTTTCAAGAACCTTTCAATCAAGTGTTAGAATTCAACAACAGCAATTGGATGGACGGTGGGGATTTCTGGATTGTGGATGATATGTTGAATTCTTACAACAGTGATTTTACAACAAGTTTGTAAACTAAGAAACCAAAATTGATTAAGGAAAAAATTCCTCATTTGTAGAAACAAGATCGAGTCTTCATCTCATCAATTATAATATAATTTTTAGGTCGCAGACAGTCAACATAAGTTTTGATATACATGTCTAGATTATGGATTCTTTTGTATTTGGGGTGAAGGGAGTTTAACTTTTCGGTTATTTCGAGACATGTTTGGTAAAATAAATTTGTGATATATTTAGTAAAATAAAATATTTCTATCAAAATCGTAGTATATGTTTTAACTTTTGGGTTATTTCGTGACATTTCTTGATGCTTGGATAATTATTCTTTGAAATTGACAATATTGTCTTGGTCATTTTTTATTACTTATAATTATGATTGTAAATAGAATTTTGTTTCTTAGTAATTAATATAATGTTATGTTCGATAGTCATAATTGATTCCACTATCTTTATTTACAAAAATGTCTTTGTTGCTTGTTGTTTTAATATTCTAATAAGTGGTAGCAATTTGGAAACACGGTCTATGGGGCCTGAACCAGACTAATTAATTTGTTCTAATTCTAGATTAATGAAAAAAAAGTATTCCAAGAATAATATAAAGAATAAAATATTCTTAATTTTATATAACAAAATTGACTGTTAAGTCATCCACTAATGTGATCTTATCATATAATAAAATACCACGTGAGTGGCTTGCAAGGATGCAGATGAACAAAAACTCCATTATCCTTTAATTAATTATTTAATTACTTGCTTATTTCGATTCTTATTGTTTCCCTTAGGAAGGACAAAGCTTGTTTGAAGCCATAGAATTAAACAAACTTATGTCCTGTCTGGCAAAACCATTTTCCAATTTTACACACAAACTTATTTCCAAGAATTCATTGAAGAAAATGAAAAATAAAGATAATTTAACCTCCTTGCCATCCTGTCTCTTAGAAGTTCTCGATGGGACGGGGCATTGAGGATCGGCTCAATTCAGTGGCAATCCTTAATTTATATATATAATTGTAAGTTTGATCCTTAAATCACATCATTCACAAATAAAATTCTACAATATTGTTACATTACCGCACATTTTTCATTTTAAAACGGGGTTTTAGTTATGAAGAAAATAAAAAAAAAATTAAAAAAAAAAGAAAAAAAGAAGTTTACCACGACAAAAGGGTGACTCAACAAAAGTTGTTTGGCGTCCTAAAAAATTTATGGCGTAAAAGATCATGAAAATATATTATTAATACTGCAATTTATTAAAATGTAGTAGTAAAAATATTTTTTTTATAAATGAAAAATATAGGTAGACAAATTCAATTCTACATCTTCATCCACAAGAAAACATAATGGGAAAGGAGAAAAACGTTTCAATTTTGGGACCCTTAATAGCATAGTAGGCCATAGAAAAAAATATGGAAGAATCAATAAGTTGTCAAGAAATTTCGAAAAATGGACGGATATTATGAAGTCAAGAATTAAAGACGTGATTGGAATACATGCTTGAGAGAGAGAGAGAGAGGATTGCGGCGGCGGGCGTAAGCATCACAGGTGGCGGAGGCGTGCCTTTTAGTGAAGCCATCCAAAATGGTCCTAACGGGCTGAGGTATTTTGGAGCTTCCACGTCTACATTATCGAAAATGGATTTCTTCTCGCAATTAATCTAGTTGCACAAAATTAATTGACAAAAATGATTGAAAGAATCTTGGCCTTTAATTTAAAATAATTTAAAAAATTATTTTTTAAATGATCAGTGTAGAAGTGGTTTTGTAAACCAACTTTGTCGACTAATTTTATACAAGTAGCATGACTCTTTTTCACGTGTATAAAATTTCGCCCCTATTTGTCATCCATTTTCTCCCATTCTTTCGCATTCTTCTATTGTATTCATTTTCAACCACACATTTTTCATTAAAATAATATTATACATAAATAAAAAAAATTTCCTTCCTTTTTAACCACATAGTTCAACATTAATCACTATTTCATAATACATTCTTCCCAAATAATGGGTGACAAACACACCCTTCGTTTGGTCTCTATCGACAAAATAGATGGCAATGAATCTGTCTACTAATTTAGCATTTGTTTGAATAAATAAAATAAATTATAATTTATTTTCTCTCTCTTTTTATCAACTATACATTTTTCAATAAAATAATATTACACGTAAATTTAAAATTTTTCCTTCATTTTTAATCACATGTTCTCGACAAAGTTACTATTCCAAAATCAAATTCTCATTATAATGAGAGAATAATGGCTGCCAATCCTGTGCTTAGTTCTATGTTTTTAATTTATTTAATACATTTTAAAATGTTTGAATAAATAAAATAAAATTTAAGAGACGGTGATGGACTCTATCCTTGTTCCTTCTGGTGGATAGATCTAAGGTGATACGGAACGGGACGTAATAGGGCAGGGCATTTTGCCGTTCACGCGTGACACAAATAATTTGATCTAAGCTGCAGGACATGATACAATTTAATTTTTAAAATTTCACAAAGGAAAATTGTGTTATTGGTGCCAACATATTATTGTAGTAGTCTGTAGTTTGTCTTCATTATTATCAAACTATTAGTATTTAATAAATTTCTTCTTGAATCATCCCCTTGACCGTAATATTTTCAAATCTGTTATGCTTCTTAACATAGGTCGTTACTCAAAAGTTAAACTGAGACACGATTTTATGAGGACTATATGGCATTTTGATGGAATTTGTCAATTAATGTCATTAAAGATTAGAATAATGTTATCTAGCAACAGTCTAAGTGTTCATATTTGATAAATTCAATTAAATGAATCATTTAACATTGAATTTAAGTGAATTTTGTTGGAATTGGTTCCAATAATTAACCAAAAATTGAAAAATGAAAAAGTGTGTAAAAGTGAAAAATGAAAAGGTGTGACTACATGTCAACTTCGATCAAATATTCGAATTTGATCCGATGGTCAAATTACAAAAGTAAATAGACCAACTTATTCTACTCGTCGAGTAGATCGTCGTGATATATTTGGAATCTCGAAACCAATTCCGGATGAATGAGAAATTGCGGTCCAAAGTTGAAAGAAATGAAGTGTTGCAACTTTTCGAAAGGATTCAGGTTTTGGTCAAGTGTTGCAACTTTTTGAAAGGATGCATGTTTTGGCCTACACTACATTTGCATCCTTTCTACATCTATAAATAGAACCCTATGGACATCCTTTTGAGTACACCAATTGCATTAAGCATTCATTCTCCTCTTGCAATTGTTTCATTTCTAATTCCATAACGTTTTCATGCATTTCCTTTGTAGAGAGGGAATTTCGTTCAAGTTCGTTAGTCGAAGCCATTTGGAGTGCTCCTATGACTTGACGTGGTCATTGTATTTTTGGAGATGATTGTCGAAAAATCGTTAGCACCGATGCGGGGCAAATTCATCTTAAGGAAAGAGTTATACTCGTCTCGGCCAAACGCATCACTTACATCTAATTTTTTCTGATTTTATTTCTACTTGATTTTAGAAAATGATTAATTTTATTTATATGGTTTATACAATGTTCGATAAGAAGAATCACATATTTTAATTCAAAAATGGAAATGGTTAGATTTGATAATCATTGGTTAGTTTCTCAAACTCCATTTCGATAAGTCAAAACCTTGTTTCGATTTTGTGAACGTGTAAGTTACGTTTTATGAATATAATATGTACATAATCGTTGTATTCCCCAACAATCTTAAAATGAATTTTGTTTTTGTGCATTTATATTTTTCATTATTCTGTTTGCATGTACAAAGTATTAAATGGATTGGATGATAAAATCTGATTGCATAAACTCGACAATGATTTATGTTTTATGCTCAGTGGGGTTCTATGCAACTCTTGAAAAAAAAAAAAAAACTGTGCATACATGAGAAACTATTATGTTATTATATGAATTGTGTCTTAAGTATCCATGCCATCCATTTGTTTAGTATATGATGAAAATGAAGTATTATATATTGCACGTGGTTACAATTGTTAATCAATATATATTGCTGTCAATACATGTCTTTCCATAAATTAGTCAAGGATCATGAAGTTGGTTTATTTTGAAAAAGTGCATGTGATTTTTAAGACAATTTATTAAGAGATGACTTTTATACCAGTTATACTTGCATAAAGTATGACAAATTGTGATTTATTCTAGTGAAAATTGTTGCGAAAATATTAAGACATGAAAATAATTTGCAAAGCACAAACTGTGCCTAAAGTTGACAATGGTGCTGAACTTCCTTTAAATTTGGAAAAGTTTGAATATGATAATTTAGTTAAATTTTTTATTTCAATAAAATTAAATGGGATGATTTGTGTAAAATTATATTTTGCATAAGAATATGACAAAATGTAATTTATCCTAATTTGATTACTTGGATTTGGTGGAAAATTATTTAGAATATTATGAAATATTTTAGGATCAATTTAGATGAAAATGTGCGTCATTTCATATGAAAAATCATGACTTTTGATATAATTATTTTTCAATGGGTATGTCTCTTCATAGAGATTATTCGTGTGTCCTTTTATAGGATTGTGTCTTTTGAGAACACAACTTTTCAACCAATGGTTGAAATGAACTATCATGTGAAATGTCACAAATGTGATAAGTTACATAAGTTTGAAGAAGTTGCAATTCTTGTGAATCAAGATGCTTAGCCCTCTTCAATATTGAAATTGACTTCAATCGTGAGACCAATTAAATTGGTTTATACTTGAAAAGCATTGTTGGTCTATATGATGACCTTGATTTAATTTGGATGATCAAAATTAATTAGATTGAAGTACGTTGTATGCAAGTTGACGACCACTATTTTGAAAATATTTAGACTTTCATGAAGCGCTCGATACATATATTATTTAAGAGATAAATGAATAGAACTATAAAAGAGTTGCTGAATTCTAAGTTCAAGGATAACCTAAAAATGTAGAGGGTTAAAATTAATGCTTGTGAACTTGAAATGGAAAATTCAAAACTCGTGAATGCAACATTACTAGATTACATATGTATTCCTAATTGAGGAATTGTGGGGGTAACTCAGTTTAACGGTTACATTTGCTTTTATCTTATAATCATAGAAAAATATCTATGAAGGTGGAAAGATAGAAAACCCTTATACTAATTATAAGGATGATATATACTAAGTGTAAAGTAGATGAAATGGGTTGTAAAGCTGATTATGTCGTTTGTTTAGACATGCAAGAACAATTGGAATATATGAAGAATTTCACAAAGTTTAAATGCATGGTAATGTTTCAATGATGATATTGAATA